GTAGTTAGAAAAATTGCATTTGTTATTTTAAAACAAGATGTATGCCTTGCAGAATACTAAGGGAGAAAATTAAAGACTATATAGTTGATACAGCAAAAAAGGAGTGTGGAGACGAAAACCAGACACACAAAATAAGAGGGAAGAATTATTAAACAAACCAAAATATTTATTTTTATTAATATAAAATATAACATGCAACAAAGACAAAATATGAATCATTTTGAACTGAAAAATAAGGCATTGGACCATATGAAGTTCTCAGACATGTACAGAAATAGAGTAGTAGTGAGAGATTTTAATAAGCCTCCTTCAGTCCTTGACAAATAAATAGAATAGAAAAATATAGAGGGCCTGAATATAATTTTTAAGTTTAACTTAATGGATATGTAATGGAATGTTAAATTAATACTTCCTGTGTCACAGACACAGTGACTAACCCTTGTCCAGAGAAAGTTGAAGGCTTGGATAAGTGTTTCTTGTGAGCCAAATTTTTCACTGCAATATTATTTTATTACAGCAAACAAACAACAAAAAAAATTAGTGAAATAAATCATGGTATAACCATATGATGAATATGATTGAGTCAATAAAAGTGTAAAATCTTCAGCACGACAAAATGCTCATGATATATTTCTAAGTGAAACAGCATATAGAAAATCATTTTACTCATTGTGTCCATTTGTGGGGAAATGAAAAAAGGATATGTGCCTGGATACAGGTACATAACTGAGTAACCAAAAATAAGAACGAATATCCCAGATTTTGGAAATACGCCAGTACTGGGCTCCTTTGTGATCCTCTGACCAGTCATGGTGGCAGATCTCACCTATTGGTAAAGGTTGAGGCTTCTCTAAAATGAGGAAATGTTCCCACTGTTAGTTATCCTGAGAGGAGGTTAGCTCTGGAGCACAAAGTAGTGGGGAGGTAGGGAGATCTTTTGGTCCTGCCCAGGCCCAGTGGGCAGGACACACAAATTTATGTGTGGAGAAGGTCAGAACAGTTCTTATGAAAGAGGATGCACATATTTCACTTTTATTTATGACTTTCAATTTATACATTCAATTTTAAATTTTATTTCTATGTATTCTCATTTATTCACAAATTATATGGATCAAATTAATTCTGCATGAGAATTATATTAGTAGGAAATGAGTTTTAATAAATGGGAAAAAATTTAACATTATATATTTTAAACAGTGTCTCTGAGTCTTTCCAAATTTGGGAGACATAGAATCATCAGTCTTTTCCACTTTTTAATAATTGGAAACCCAAAATTTTAAATATACATTTAAAATGATTAATAATGAAAGAAAACTGAATGGAAATTCATAATAATAATAATGGGTAAAAATTGTTTCATATTCACTATAAAGTACTTAGTTTTCTAAAAGTTTTAAGTATATTACTTATTTATTCCTTATAATAATTGTATGAGATAAGCTACTATTACTTATCTTTATTTTTTAGATGAGGAAAATAAGGTACAGAGAGCTAAGTTACTTGCACAGAGACACACGACTATTTAACACTTCTTCATTCCTCAGGAATACAGCCTCAAGAACAACCAAGCACTCGATTCAGAGTTAACTCTAACTTATCTAACTTATCTGAATCAACCAAGGACCAGAATAGGGCATCCTAAGTGCATACCAGGTGAGCGCCAAGGTTGACATATCCAAAATGAGGCTGTATAAGGGGAAAGAACTAAAATGTACAGCTAGGGTCTGAAAGAGTGGGCACCAACTTGGGAAGAGGTTCAAATTAGACAAAGAAGATGAGGCTAGGGGAATTTTTTGAGCCAAAGAACAAGTAGTTGTTAGGATGTGCTCATGCTACAGAGTGAGCATGCCTGTAGAGAGAGAGAAAAAAAAAATGCCCAGAGCACAGCTAGCACCACTCTGGCTCAGTCACCTTTCTGCATGCAAATTAGAGTGGGCCTTTCCCCACTATGAATGTTCTGACTCATTCTAAGAAGCCTTTCAGGTGGGAAGCAGATTCTCACAACCAGTCCCCCAGCCCTGTCCATGTCTATAAGAATCTCCTAGGAAGCTGTGAAAAATTCCTGGGAGATACCCTCAGAAATCCCAAGTGCACTGGTCTGCCTTAGGGCCCATGATTCTAAATTTTAAACAAGCTCCCCAAGCAGTGAGGGCACCATGCTTTGAGAAAAGAGACCCTATATACTTCCTAGGTAGGAAATACAAAAGCTGTTCATAACATTGGGAGGTAAGTGCCTCCTCTGAATATTTGGGGTTTTCTGAACGTCTCAGTGAACCCGGCAAAGCAAGGAAAGCTACATGATAAGATGGCTGTATGTGGATGGAGAGAGCTGGAGTACAATGCCATGGAATTGTAATATATCTCAATGTGGTATATCTCAAAACATCCCAAACTTACATGTGAATCTCCTACTATAACACAATAAAAACAATTTTAAAGAAAATTCCTAACAGATGTTATCCAGCCACTGACATGGTCAGGTGCTTATGTGAGTGCATGGAGAGGTGTTAGGGTGTTTCCTAGGGATCCAGTGTTAGAGTCAACTCCTGGGATCAATCTTTTGTATGAATTTTGAGGAAGAAGGGAATATAGTTAGCTGTCAGGATGTCGATGGTGCTAAAATATGAGAGGAGACAGATGGTATTAGCACTGTAGTTGCTATGAAAAAGTGTAAATTGGTGTGAATAAACACTGGTCTAAGGGAAATAGATTGATCGTGTTGTCAGTAGGTACTTTAATGGCAAATCTATCTGGCTATCTGGATGTCAGTTTCTAGATCAATGGTAAACAATCTCTAGATCAATGGTAGTTATGAACATAAAATATTTTGGAAAGCATCCTTGGAAAATGGGACCTAAACTGGCAGTTCAGTCAGAGCCCAGGTGGCTCGATAGTCCATGGAGGCAGAAGCAGAAGATCTCACTATTGAACAGGATAGCAGCAGCTAGAGTAGATTGGGAGTACCAGGGATAGTACCATAGTACCAGGGATAGGGATGGAAGGACAAGCCATTTTGGTGACAGAGTCCACCACCACAAAAGACTTGCTTGGAGTGGACAGTCAATTGGATGCTAATCTAGTGTGAACTTTTCTAGAGATATTCTGCAATCAAAAGCAAGGGGTAGCAGTTCAGTATGTCAACCAGGCCTGTCCTTTACCTGGACACAGGCATTACAGTAGGGAGAATCCTGAATGGTGTCATTCAAAGCCTTGTACATTCCTGTGGCTAGCAGGATTGCACACTGTTCTCTGTTTTACCAGGTTCACTGAGACACTGATCCCCACCATAAACTCCAGAAAGCCACCAATATAAGCTGTTTGCTTTGATAGGCTCTCCCAGCATTTTGCACTATCCCATGGCCTTGAATCTCAGCTAGATGAGTTCTAACTCAACATATGTAGCTAAATGCCTACACAGCGTATACCTGCTTCCCTGATAAATGTAGCCAGGTACACAAAGTTCTCTGGTTTAAGACTTCCATAGTAGGACTGCCTCTGCTACTCCCTTCTGGACCAAGGATTGAACATCTGATAGGCAATTTTGGCTGCTTAGAGTGGCAGAGTTCAGTACTAAGAAAGAGAGACAGCTTCCCTCAGATTTCAGTAGTCTAAGCACTCGGGACTTAGATGTCGGGTCCACTCAAGACTGTGCTTCTAAATATTTAAAGCAGCTTTGATTGCATCCACTCCCACACTGGGTGATTGCGCTCATCTAGAGCTAGCTTCTAGAACTATGACACTTCAGGGACTACAAGCACTAGCAAGATCCTAAGTGGGAAAGGATAAGCCCTACAGCAGGGCATTAAGCCTTCATGAAATGACTACTGAATGGCTGAAGTAGTGATTCAGTCTATATTTGAGCAGCTCCAACATGATCGGGAGAGAGGGGCTAGTTTCTAAAATAGGTCATCTTTAGACTTTTTTTTTTTTTTACAAAGATTTCATTTATTTATTTTCAGACAGAGGGAGAGGGAGAAAGGGAGGGAGAGAAACATCAATGTGTGGTTGCCTCTCATGTACCCCCTACTGGTGACCTGGCCCGCAACCCTGGCATATGCCCTGACTACGAATTGAACGAACAACCCTTTGGTTCACAGGCAGGCACTCAATCCACTGAGCCATACCAGCCAGGGCTCTTTAAACTCTTAAAAAGTTCCTTGTTTGGAATTAAATTCTATCTTCATTTAACTTGCTGTACTCTGTTCTACAAATATGTCTTGGGGCCATTATCAGTTGCACCCATTCTTTCACATGATGACAGCTGTCATTTTCCTGCAATTCCTTTCATTTGTGCTCATCTGGTGCCTCACTTATGAGCATGCTCCCATATGTCAATGTGCCTCTTAAAAGTGTGGTACAAAGAATGCAGTACTCCAGGTGTGGTCTGATAAGTCCCTAGTACAAGATTATCCCTCCCTTGCTAGAGATCGTGGGCATTTTTGTTATTGTTGTTATCACATCAGAAATCTACTTGGTTAGCTAAGTTTGCTAAAAAAACAAAAACAAAAACAAACAAACAAAAAATACCTCACCTGCCTTTCAACTCTTCACTCAACTTAATTGTGCAATTGTTTGTGGAGCCAAGTAACAGTTCTAACATTTAGAACACAATGCCTGAATTATGTTCTCATTATAATAATCATTATTAGCTAATAACCACTATAACCATTACAAAATGGAATTACCACTTAAAATATGAGGTCAGCCCCCACCCCCTTCAGCCTCAGAAATGAAAATACTACCTTACATCTGCTCTTGGATTTTGAGACTACAGTATCGTATCCCTCCCTTTTTAGCTAGGCCACCTCTAATTAAGCCCCGCCTCCAAAAGTTTCCCTGGCCCCACCCCTGGGCCTCAGATCCTAGGCGACTCGCATCCGCCCCGCCCACTCCTACCCGGGGGTGGGGGCGTGGAGAAGGCACTGGGCGTAGGCGCTGATTGGCTGGCTAGGGCGCAGTTTGATGGCGTCTGGCTGACGCGCTGCGGTCCCAGCGGCGGCCCCAGGTCGAAGGGCACCTGTGTAAAGTGGCTGGCGGTTCCAGTTGTTCTACCTCGGGGAGTGGTTAGTGGAGGCACAAACTCTCCCTACACTTCTCCATGAGTTTCCTAATAGACTCCAGCATCATGATTACCTCCCAGGTGAGCCACTGCGTCCTGCCCCGGGACCCCTCAGCCTCATTTTTCAGAATCGTCTCGCGGCCTCCGTGATGCAGGCTGACCAGTGTCTTGCTCTCCTCGTTCGCGGCGGGCGCCCGCCTCGTCCGTTCCTTGGAGCTTGGGGAGGGTGTGGAATTTGCTGTGTCCTGTGCTCTCCGCCCTTGTCGAGAGGCGGCCTGAGGCAGCCAGCGCCCCCACCCAGCCTCCATTCCACCCCACTCTACCCTCCGCTTTCCTGCCTACTTTTAGAAGCGTTCAAGTGGCAAGTGGCCTCAGCGCTTAGAGCCTGTGCCTTGAGAGAAGGGAGCTATCCCCAAAATGCTCCGAAGCATCTGGACTGCGACCCAGGCCCAGGAATTGAGGAAAAGTGTGGTTCCGGGTGCAGAGTGCGCAATAATCCAATCGATGCTGGCTCCTGGGTACACGTGGGGCTTTGCTGGTTAGTTGTCAAATGCTGAATTCGGTTATGGAGGAATTTGCCGCCGCCACTTGAGAGATCTTCACACTGTGACGTTTCCTTTGTGCGTTAACACATTCGTTATCCTCTGCTGCCGTGCTTTGCAGATCTTTTTCTGACACTCCTTTCTTTCCGATTGGCCACCTTCATTCATCCCAACCATCAATCAACTTACATAAAGCTCAGAGGGTACAAACATAAATAAGACACACACTGTCCCTGTTTTATAAAAGCTTTATCTAGTAAGCCTCTTGCTTGTACTGTCATTCGTTGAGTTACTCTTTTATTTTCTTCATAGCATTTATCAAAGCACTGATATCATTTATGTATTTGTTTATGAATTATTGCGGTCCTGTCTTGTTCATAGCTGTATCCCGCCTCAAATGCAAGCACTTAATAAGTATTTGTTGGCCAACTCTTAATATTTGGAAAGCTCAGACCATCTAAGTATGGATCTTCCCCCCTCATTTTTCCAGCCATTCCAAGTATTTTTTAAAAAAATTTTTTACTTTTCTATTTAATTTATTTGGGTGCAACTGGTTAATAAAATTATATAGGTTTCAGATGTACAATTCTATAATACATCATCTGTATATTTTATAGTGTATCACCAACCCAAGTCAAGTCTCCATCACTGTTTATCCCCCCTTTCCCTCTGGTAATCACCATCTTATTGTCTGTGTCTAAGAGGTTTTTTGGTTTTTTTGTTTGTTTTTGGCTTGATCCCTTCACCTTTTTCACAAGGCTCAGCAACCTCCCGTTCCTCTGACAGCTGTCAGTCTGTTGTTCATGAGTCTATTTTGTTTATTAGATTTCACATATGAGTGAAATCATATGGTATTTGTCTTTCTCTGGCTGGCTTATTTCATTTAGTATAATGCTCTCCAGGTCCATCCATGCTGTCACAAAAGGTAAGAGTTCTTTCTTTTTTACAAGCGAGTAGTAGTCCCATGTGTAGGTATACCACCGCTTTTATCCACTCGTCTACTAATGGACACTTTGGCTGCTTCCAAATGTTGGCTCTTGTAAATAATGCTGCAATGAACATGAGGATGCATATATTCTTTTGAATTAGTGTTTTGGTCTCCTTCAGATATATTCCCAAAAGTAAAATCACTGGAACATAAGGCAGTGCCATTTTTTATTTATTTATTTATTTATTTATTTATGGTAATTAAAAAAAAATTTATTGTATTTTTTCCATTACCATTTAGTCCTCTTATAGCCTACTCACCCTGCAATCACCACACTGTTGCCCATGTCCATGAGTCCTTTTTCCTTTTTGCTTGAACCTTCCATCCCCTTTCCTCCCTCCTCATTCCTTACCTGTCATTCTATTCTCTACCTATGAGTCTGTCTCTGTTTTGCTTGTTCAGTTTATTCCTTAGATTCCACATATGAGTGAAATCATTTGGTATTTGTCTTTCTGATGGTTTATTTCACTTAGCATAATGTTCTCCAGGTCCATCTATTGTTGTCGCAAGGATAAATTTTTTCTTTTTTATGGTTAAGTAGTATTCCATTGTGTAAATAAATGTCCCATAGTTGTTTTATCTATCTACTGATGGACACGAGCTGCTTCCCATATCTTGGCCATTATAAATAATGATGCATTGAATGTAGGGGTGCTTTTGTTCTTTCATATTAGTGTTTTGGATTCCTTTGGATATATTCCCAGAAGTGGGATCACTGGGTCAAAGGACAGATCCATTTTTTATTTTTTGACATATCTCCATAGTGCCTTCCACAATGGCTGCCCAAATCTGCATTCCCACCAATAGTTCAAAAGTGTTCCCCTTTCTCCACATCCTTGCCAGCACTTGTTATTTGTGGATTTATTGATGATAGCCATTCTGACAGGGATGAGGTGATATCTCATTGTGGTTTTAATTTTGCATTTTTGTGATGGTTAGTGACAATGAGCATCATGTGTTTGTCCTCTTTGGAGAAGTGTCTGTTTAGGTCCTTTGCCCATTTTTAATTGGATTCTATGGGGGGTTTTGGTGTTGAGTTGAATAAGTTCTTCATAAACTTTGGATATTAACCCCTTATCAGATATATCTTTGGTAAATATGTTCTCCCATTCAGTGAGTTCTCTTTTCGTTTCATTGATGATTTCCTTTGCCGTGCAAAAAGTTTTTAGTTTAATGTAGTTCCACTTGTTTAATTTTTTTGTTGTTGTTTGTTTCCCTTGCCTGAGGAAATATATCAGAAAAAAATACTGGTATAAGAAATGTCCAAGATTTTACTGCCTGTGTGCTCTTCTAGAATTTTTATGGTTTTGAATCTAACATTTAAGTCCTTAATCCATTTTGAGTTTATTCTTATGCATGGTGTAAGAAGGTGGTCCAGTTTCATTTTTTACATGTATCTGTTTAATTTTCCCAACACCATTTACTGAATAGTCTGCTTTTACCCCATTGTCTGTTTTTTTGCCTCCTCTGTCAAATATTTAATTGACCATAAAGGCATGGATTTATTTCTGGGCTCTCTGTCCTGTTCCATTGCTCTGTATGTCTGTTTTTATGCCAGTACCATGCTATTTAATTTACTATGACCTTGTAGTATAGCTTGATATCAGGTAGCATGATTCCTCCAACTTTGTTATTCTTTCCAAAGGTTGCTGTGGTTATTCAGGGTCTTTTGTGATTCCATATAAATTTTTGAAATATTTGTCTAGTTCTGTGAAATACACCATTGGTATTTTGATAGGAATTGTGTCGACTCTATCGATTGCTTTGGGTAATACAGACATTTTAATGATGTTAATTCATCCTATCCATGAACACAGTATATGCTTCCACTTACTTGTATCTTCAGTTTCTTTCTTCAGTGTCTTATAATTTTTCCAAGTATAGATCTTTTACATGGTTGGTTAAATTTATTTCTCTTATGGGTGGGGTTTTTTTTAGGCAATTGTAAATGGAATTGATTTCTTAGTTCCCTTTCTGACAGTTCATCATTGGTGTATAGAAATGCAGCTGATTTCTGGATATTTATTTTGTACCCTACTATTTTATGGAATTCATTTATCAGTTCTAGTAGTTCTTGGTAGAATCTTTAGGATTCTCTATGTACAGTATCATGTCATCTGCAAATGATGACAGGTTTACTTATTCCTTTCCAATTTGGATGCCTTTCATTTGTTCTTCTTGTCTGATTACATAGGACTTCCAGTACTATGTTGGATAGAAGTGGTGAAAGTGGACATCCCTGATTGTTCCCTATCTTAAGGGAAATACTTATAGTATCTGCCCCTTGAGTATTATGTTGGCTGTTGTTTGGTTATATATGGCCCTTATTATGTTGAGGTATGTTTCCTCTCTCCCCACTTTGCTGAGAGCTTTGATCATAAATGGGTGCTGAATTTTATCAAATGCTTTTTCTGCATCTGTTGATATGATCATGTGATTTTTTTATCCTTCATTTTGTTGCATTTTTTTAATTTAAAAATATTGTACCAACCTTGCATCCCTAGAATAAATCCCACTTCACTATGGTGTATGATCTCTTTCATGTACTGCTGAATTCAGCTTGCTAATATTTTGCTGAGGAATTTAGTATCTATGTTCATCAGAATTATTGGCTTATAATTTTCTTTCTTTGTTGTATCTTTATGTGACTTTGGAATTAGGATAGTGCTGGCCTCATAAAATGAGCGTAGGAGGTTTCCCTTCTCTTAAAACTTTTGGAATAGTTTAAGGAGGAGAGGTCTTAGTTCCTTTCAGAATGTTTGGTAGAATTCACCTGTAAAGCCATCCAATCCAGGACTTCTGTTTATTGGAAGTTTTTTGTTTACTTCTTCAGTTCCACTAGCTGTAATCTGTCCAGATTCTCTAATTATTTCTGATTCAGTTTTGGAAGATTGCATGTTTCTAGGAATTTATCCATTTCACCCAGATTGTCCAATTTGTTAGCATATAGTTGTTCGTAATAGTTTCTTATACTCCTTTGTACTTCCTCAGTGTCAGTTGTTTGTTCTCCTCTTTCATTACTGGTTTTATTTATTGGGTCCTCTCTCTTTTTTCTTGATGAGTCTAGTAAAAGGTTTGTCAATTTTGTTTTTTCAAGAAACCAGCTCTTGGTTTCATTGATTGATCTTATGTATTTTTTAGAATCTATTTTGTTTATTTCCACTCTGATCTTTATTGTTTCCTTTCTTCTACTTACTTTTGGCTTTGTTGTTCTTTTTTTCTTTTAAGTTACTTTAAGTGTAAACAGATTGTGTATATGATGTTTTTCTTGCTTCTTGAGATAGGCCTGTAATGCTATGAATTTCCCTCTTAGGACTGCTTTCACTGTGTCCCATAGATTTTGGTCTGTTGTGTGTTCATTTCCATTTGTTTCCAGGTATTTTTTTTTATTTCTTTTTTGATCTCATTGTTAACCAAGTTATTGTTTAGTAACATGTTATTTGGCCTCCATGTCTTTGTGTATTTTCCAGTTTTTTTTCTTAAGATTGATTTCTACTTTCATACCATTATGGTCAGAGAAGATGCTTGATATGATTTCAGTCTTCTTAAGT